TGGGGGGAACCATGGTTTCTTGGGCGAGTCGGGGGAGGGAGGGAGGAGGGCGGTTGCCTCGGTCGGTGGTTTTTGAGGGCGAGAGGTGGACATGGCGGAGATGTAGGAGGGCGGTGGAGAGGAGGCCATCAGGGCATTTATACAATACAATCACACGTAGGAAGAGAAGATCACATCGTGAATTGAGTGCACTCATTAGACTTGCACCATCTCGCGCAAATCCGAAGAGATAGCGCTGGCGGACATTGCCGACTTGGTTTGGTTGCCGATCTCTATAACCCATGGAGGGCTGCATTGGCTGGACGAGAGTGAAGTATGGAAGTATATAAGTATATATGCTATACTGACATGAATAACACAATCCCAAAATGCCATTAAAGCTCAAACCAGATATACACCCTACACCACTACGACAAAGCTTGTATTCTAAAAAGGTGGTGATAGCCGAGACCTTGCCGAGGGTGGCATGCGCATAAACAGGCAGGACATGAATGCTACCATTGCAGTACACTAGACGGGTCAGCGGATCAGCACATCTACTGTCATGTGTAATAGCGAAAGAAAGGAGAGACCTACGCCGTTGATCAAAAACACGACGGTCGGGTACCCTGCATCACTCAATACTGCAAAGACAGAACCGAACACCGATATCGTCGATACTTGCGCTACAGAGGTATCAGTTCTCTTTCACTGAAAAGCGAGCAGGAGGGAAGAGGCGTACTGAGCTTCTCTACCAGCTCTATAGCACTCAACGGATCTGTCCTCACCTCAGGCTCCACCAGCTCCATGATCACGCCCTTACACGCCGACCCAGTCCCGCTCCGATCTCACAAGGGTGACGAAGTACATGTTGCTCGCAATCTAGAACCCCCCCGGAGAGCCTAGGAGATTGAGGAGCTGCGCCATTTGAATGATGGCGTCATCCCTGCCACCGCCAGTGCTGAGTGCGTACGTTTCGAAGAGGATACGCAGGGCGGGGGGTGTACGCACTGCATGTGGTAGTGATTATGCCCATCCAAGCAGCTTGTGATGCACTCTCCGCCTCGATCTTTGAAAGATCACCTGTCACCACCACCATCCCCATCTACATTGCCTCCCCACTCGTACGTCTGGTGATACTCGTCACAAGTCATAACCCTCTAGCATATATAAGGGTAGTCTGGGGGAGTCGGAATGTCATGGTCACGAGGAAGGAGGCGAAGAATACGCAGCAGATTGGAGAGTACCATGATTTGTCCATGTTGTGAGAGAAGCTGGAAGGAGATGGAAGAAAGGGGATGGAGGAAAGGGGATGGAAGAAAGGGGATGGAAGAAAGGGGATGGAAGAAAGGGGCGAAGGATAGGGGAGGTCTCTCTTGAGATGGGCGTACAATAGTGGAACCGGGACATGAATACGCAATAGCAGAAGAAGAAGGAGTGTATGCCATAACCTTATATGGGGCGCCGAGAAGTGTGGGCGCGATGGAGGAAGGCCAGTGATGAGACACTTCACAAACGGGGCAGTCACTACGGTTCGTTCTTTGCTCTTCTACGTGATTGGAATACCCGTACTATGCTAAAAGGCACTCTGGAAAGATGACACGAGTCTGGAAGGTGGGGCTATTAGACGAGGTGGGGAACGGAGCGGGCGGGTGGTAGGTGGATTTCTAGGATAAGATTCGAACGAGGTTGGTTCGCGTCATTTGGGGAGAGTATTGCAAGTGAAGCGTATCGCGGTCTCTTTATCGTTGATGCCATGCTCTATCACACACAAATCAATGTACAATATAGTCACAACAGCACAAAGATTTGAATGTAATACATTGTAAGGCATTATTGTGGTTCAGACGCAGATAGAAGATCAAACATACTCGTATACAACGTCACTGATGACAATAGGCGCCCATCGACTAAAATCCCCGCCTCGTGCTATGTATTCTGTATGACTGTGTCCATCCACGTGTTCCCACATACATTCCCTTGAGCTTTTGATCCTTCTTACCCGCTCCTGCCGAGACTCCAAAAACGACGAGTCAATCGCCCGGGTCTGAGAAGAGATCACCAAAGTCCCACATCGCGCATGTCCGCAGCCTACTACTGCCAGAAGGCGAGGTCGTGTTTTTGTTGTATACCCCTCAAATACTGTCTTGGTATCATAATGGCCTGGAAGAATGTGAAGCCCTTTGATTTCAACCTTATCTCTGGAACGATGCTTCAACAATCACTCTCTTGCATCGTTGCGCACGGGGGCAGAGTCTAGCTCCGTTGTAGCTGATTCACAAACAGGGGATGTCACAAACAGGAGGCAATCGCTACTGTATGACATGCATTCGTATCGTTTCCCACGACACTAGTCATACACATCTAGATCTCAAAGCTCTCCACGCGATTTGATATTTGCTCTATGGCAGTGTCCTTTTGGACCAATGCTCGTTGAAGCTCTCCTCCCAGGCTTGAGCATTGATCTTTCGTTCGTACAGCTCATGAGGCGTCGTACCCGGCAGGCTCTGGACCATCCCATAATCCCTATGCTTGCTCTTTGCGTACTCTTCCATCTCCTCCTTAAGCGGTCCACTTCCCAGCTGGCTTTCATTCAGAGTCGCACAAAACTCTGTGGTGTCTCTCACTTCATCCGCCCACGAGCTTTTGATCATCTCTCTCAATTGGTCGACTCTGTTGGAGGCGTCAAGGACGAAATCGATAGTGTTTACGAGTTCGGTGTTGTCTTTGGACGAAGCTGCATCTCGGTGGAAGCCAAGGCGCTCTGCCGCTGCAGTACGTTGGGCAGCGGTCTCTGCCTTGCGGTAGCGAAGGGCTGCGAGCTCCACACCCCGTTCTACAAGGCGATGGTGAATATCGTTGGTGAGATGTTGGAAATCGACTCACCAGTTCCCAAGTTGGAGGTCTGTGTAGGGAACCCGGGAGGGGCTTGATCAATGGGAGTAGTGACTGTGACGTTTGCCAAAGATTCAAGCATCGCATCAGAAAAGTCCGTCGCAATGACTGACATGCGGGTCTGGTAACGGTCGTCGTCATTTGAATCACGCTGCTGAGGTATATCAGGCGACTTACCGGGAGGAAGCCCGAGTCGGTGATATGATCATCTTCATCTTCTCCATCAATCTCGTCATCGGGAATGTTGAGTTGCTCTTGGATGTTCTTGCGAGTGATACTCCAAGCACTGGTGGTTCCTTGTTCAGAGGAGCCAGACATTTTCTACTGGATTGGCTGTAAACGGATGAATACAGAGTAAAATTGATGGTGAGATACGGAACTCGCACGCAGCGGTATATATATATATTTCAACCGTTCGCGGCGGGAGAGAGGAGTGTCTTCCCCTCAAAGGAGTACTGGAGTCGATGGGTCGTGCGAAGAAGAGCTGGAAGTGACTATCTTTGTCTCTGTCAGGGGAAACTAATAGCGGGGGCGTCGCTTGTCTTCTAAAGAAAGGATCAAGCGTGTAAAAGATGCTGAGTCACCTAAAGAAAGGAAAGAGGAAATCCGCGGAGGAGGAGTTGTCGATTGACAGGTCACAATGCCTCAGCTCGCGAATCTTGGCGAGCGGCTTGTCAGAGGCGTTTCAAGAAGACTATGGATTGACTCCCTTCATCAAGACGTGATAGTGATGAGCATGAAATGACGAGTAATACGAGATGTGTGTCTTTGACTGAAGTGCTTGTTTCAACATTTCGCTTGTTGGTCGTGGTTTCCCATCTACAACTCATTTATCAATGTCCGACACTAGTTCGGATCAATTCAGAGCTGTGGGCGAATAGCTGCACCACTCTTGAGGATTTGATGCAGATGCAATGGTTCTAAAGACGAGAAAAATCATCATTGGTTATGGCAACATCTTATAGATTTGTAAATTTACGTGTAAAACATTCAACTCTCCGTAGTTTAGTGTGGTTTAGAGCGTCAGACTGTAATTGGTTAACAACTCATATCTGAAAGTCGTGCGTTCGACTCGCACCGGGGAGATCTTTTTTGCCCTTTCTTTTTTGTTGTTTTCCTCCTGAAACCTGGACTCTTCTTCATCCAATGTGCGTGGCACGGATACACAAAAGCAGTGTTTACATAGCAGATATTCGGATGCCATTGGTGGCATCAGAGGTGGACAGAGTGGGAGGTTTAAATGGTAGATTATTACCCAACCGAGCCTTGCGATCAATCCATTCATCCCACTCTTCTTCATCAAGCTCGTCCGAAGAAGAATCCGAATCCGAGTCCCACATATCTGGGCTGTATTTGGTGGCCTATTGGCAGATTAGCTTCTTGGACCGGCATTTTACATAGAGGACCTTGTTTGCCTCATTGATGGAACTCTCTACGCGGATGACGACAGCTCCATCCCGGTCTCTTCGTCCAACTAGTGCTTGAGCTCATCTTGCAAAGCTTGCAGATTCTCAAACGACTTGACACCTGCGGCATGACCTTGAGGATCGAACAGTTTGAGGTCTTTGTCAATCCAGAATTCCTGTTCAAACTTGCCATTACTGCGCTTTGCGTTCGTCCTGAGCATCACCATCACCAAAAATTTGGGTGGCGAGCATTGGGGCCATGCGACGTGTAAGGCCGCTCGTGTGTGTACGGAAAGCTAGGAGGAGGTTGGAACTGAGGTCGAAAGCGGTTTTGACGGTTTCGTTCTCCTCTTCTGTGAGGCAAGTCCAGATAGGAGCGTCGGACAAGGCTGACGAGGATAGTTTGCGTTTGTTAAATGACATGTTTGCGTTTGCGCAAAGTAAATTTGGGTATGGGTTCTGAAGCTGCCATGACCAAAGGCTTTGAGGGGATGTATGAATGCAGCGCTGGGATTACGATGATGGAATAGGCAAAAGCACCCAGCACGGTGCATTGCGACGTCTTCTGCGGCGCGTGATGACGTTTGAGAAAATAAGAGAATGATCATATCCAGCCTGAATGGAAGACCACTCGTATCCTTCCATTGTCTACGGATGCCTCATCACTCATCATCGCCGTGATCACCGTGATATCAGTGCTCCTTCAAAAAGAGCAAAAAATGGAGGAGCTAAGAATTGAACTCAGTACCTCGTCAAGTCAGAACCTGGAAAACAGATGCTAATGACGCGCTCTGCCAAATGAGCTACACCCCCAATTTGTGTATTCCATTTCTTGCGCCACACCGCTTCGCAGTGACGATTGCATGCAATACCATATACATACCCGACTGTATGCACAGGCTCAGAAGAAAGCGGTTGCGGAGGACCTTTGAAAGAAAAGACGATTCAACTGTTGTTTACGAGCGGCACCGTCCGCCGATGAGCGGAATCAAAAAGACGCGTCGAGGGATACAGTCGCGTCAAAGACATGAACAAAGAACTTCCTATCCTCCCATCTCTGCGATTCCCCATCCTGTCGGCTACACCACCACCAAAGCTACCACCATGGCCGACCTGGACAACCTGTTCAACTCTCCCCCCCACTCGCCGCCACCTCCTCCTCGTGCCAGGTCGACCACGCCCGACACGCCTGTGCGCGATAGGTCTGTCGGCGAAGCCCTCTTCTTTTCACCCGGGGCTAGTCAGTTTGGCTCTCCCTCTGCCTCTCAACAACGACAACCAGTGCAGCAGAATCGGGAGAGGGAAGAGCGGAGGAGGATAGAAATGAGGAGGGAAGAAGGAGGGGGCATTGTGAGGGTGCGGCATGCGGTGAATGTGGTTGATCCGGTGGACCCGCTACCGAGGGATAGTGGTAATTACTCGGCAGCGGCGTTTGGAGCTGGAGCTGGAGGGGGGTCGGGAGAGGGGATGTATGGGGCGATTACAGACCCGTTAGCTGCTGGTACGGGAGGGGACGATGATGGAGATGGAGAAACGGGGGAAAAGAGGAGACGGCCTATGGCCAAGGTTGACGCTGATAGGTGAGTCCTTCCTTGGATGGGCTGGCAGGAATGCTGATGGCGGGCAAAGGCTATTGTCGGACAGCACTGGAATACCGGCTCTGATGAGGTCTGCCAAAAAGTTCAAGACGCACGGCAAAGGACGCGAGGTCAGCGACTCTTGCTCAATCATGTGCGGCGCTGACAGTACAAGATAGAAGGATGATCTGCGGGCTCTCCTGCACATGTACCAGATGTGGGCGCACGGCATGTTTCCCAAAGGCTCGTTTGCGCAGACGATGGACAGGACTGAAAAGGTGTGCCGGACGAGAAGGATGGAGGTGGATCTATTTTCCTTGGCGTGTGATGAGGCAAAGCTGATGAGACTAGTCTGCGATAGGAGGGCTGAGCGATGCATTCCACGGACGACGGTCGCCTCCCCCTTCTCCCCCCGCCCCTGCCCGTTCTCCCGTGGCAGACCGGTCCGACGCCTCGCCCAGCCGACAGTCGGGCGCGCCAGAATCATCAGCGCGAGGAGCCTTGTTTGCGGCGGCGCCGGCAGAGAGTGCGGGTGACGAATGGGAGGGGGTGGACATGGATGAGCTGATGGAGATGCAAGCGCAGGAGGCGTACGCGGCGCAGGCGGAGAAAGACGAGTTTGGGGGGTTGTATGATTAGACTTTTGTGGATGAGTTGTAATAATTCAAGGTTCGAGACAGAGGGGGGCTCGACGTCATCGGGGGGTTCCGCTGCGTCGTGTATAAATCGATCGTCGTACTCAGCGATGGTACGTATGCAGCCGTAATCCCGCACTGCAGCATGAGCGTCTTCTCGCCCAGCTTCTCCTTCCGCCCCCCACACAACGCAGCCCCCACACAGCCCACCCCGTCCCCCAGCACCACACACAGCCCAGTCTTCGGCGTCGACCACCCAGACTGCATCCCCGAGGAAGAGGACAGCCACCAGGTAAGCTGCCTCTCCTCATGCGTTGCAGCCAAGATCCGGCCGGGCCATGCACCCACAGCCTGCCCCGGGCTTCCCTTTGTGCATCTCTCGTCTGCTGCGGACGGCGACCGCTGCCCGACAAAGCGACTCTCCCCTCCGACATTCCGCGTCTCCCCATGACTTGCGACTACCTTGCCAAGTGTGCTGCGCTGACATGAATCCTTATAATCCCCTTGTCGATACCGTCATCGCTTCTATCCACTCCACGCCTCGCCGCCTACTCCCCCTCCTCGACGACTGCAACCGCTCATCACCTGTTACACCGCCCTCCCATACCACCCTCCCGCTCCATCACCATGCTTTTCGACATTCACGAGCACCAGACCCATTCCGCCACCCCTTCTCGCGGTTCATCCCTCCCTCCAAGCCGACGAGACGACAAGGATCATCTCCGCCAAGCCCGTTCGCAATCCGTGCGCAACATGGCCCTGAACGACAAGGACGCTGGGCTCTTGACCCCTTCGCCCGCTATCGACATTCACAGCAAAGGATCATCCCTCTCGCCCTCGCGCCCCAAGCGTGGGGCCCTCAGTCCACTGCAGACGCTCTCTCCGTTGGAGCCGCTCAAGTCGTCGCCCCCCGTGCGCGTGACGGACACTGTCGGCGCCGGCTCCAGGCGCGCCTCCTTGACAAGGAGCTTGAGTAGGAGGGAGAGTATGGTTGAGAACGCTGCGGCATGGAGGAGGGGAGAAGACGTGGGAGGTGATGGGAGGGGCTTGTTCTCCAGGTTGACGTTGGTCAAAGCGCCCTCTGCTGAAAAGAAGGACGAGAGGAGGTCAGCTCTACTCTTCTTACGCTGTGGTGTCTGGCTGACTCGTTGCTAGACACGTACGATCCAAATCCGGCTCCTCCCTCATGCCCTTCAACTCTTTCGCCTCCTACTCTGACGCCCCTGCCACCTCCGCCTCTGGTCCCCGTCGGTCCTTTGCCGCCTCCTCTTTCGGCGCTTCCCCCTCCACCCGCCCGTCGGCTCTCCCCGTCCCCGAAGCCGTCAACAAGGGCTCCGCCCACCGCGTAGAGTCCCGTTCCAGCCACCGCAACGTCCAGAAAGACAAGATGTTTTCTCCCGAACAGGTAGTAGAGCTCGCGAGGTCTATCAACTCGCCCAAGGCTGCTGCGTCGCCCCTCCACCGAGCCAAGTCTGCGCGCTCGCTCAGGTCTTTTGAGAACTCGCCGGAGAAGGAGCAAGCCGAGCTCGAGCCGGTCGAGTATGTGCAGATGGAGGAGGACGTTCTCTTGCCCTTTGTTGACCGCGCGTCCGAGGTCGCCGACTTGATCGCACACCCCTCCAACGTCAAGCTCTTTGCCCTCCTCCGCGCCGCCTTCCCCAAAGAGCCAGCTCGCCCCAACTGGCAGACCCTCAACCCTGAAGAGTGGCGCTGGGACGAGTTCCTTCTCCATCTCACGCAAGTCAACAGGGACGACGTCGACGACTATGACTGGGTCTACAAGGACCGCCAGGCAGTGAGAAAGCATAGCGTGGCGCTCTGGGAGAAGCTTGGGACTTGTCTCGGGTGCGACGAGGAGCTTCTCAACGCTGGTTCTGAAGATGGTTCGCCCAATACGTGGGCTGGGCTCGGTCTGGACGAGGACGGGGAGCAAGATGGGAATGACGGGCATGTGTGGATCGAAGGTCTCGCCGCGCAAGATCAGACGGAACGCGCCCACGCCGAACGTCAACTCCGAGATGCTTTTGGCGGCGTTGTGGAAGATGAAGGCGAGGCGGCTGCTGCCGGCATGACTGCCCTCCTCGGACCTATCGGCGAGGACAAGGGCGGAGAGTTGACGCCGGCGCAGAGAGCCGCGCAGAAGGACAAGATTGATCCCATGGGTGGCGGCTTGGGCTTGGGGGGCTTGGGCGAGATTCCAGAGTCGCCCGTAGAGTATACACGCCACCGCAAGAGCTCATCGCTGCACAGCACCTCGCCGACTATGAGCACATCTGCGAGACAGGGCAGACCATCGTTTGTGGGACTTCAGATCTGTACGGCGCCTTCCAACGGCCGTTCCTTCTCCCGCTCTCCTTCACTCACGACCACCTCTCTCTCCACTTCGGCCCACAACACTTGCCCGCCCTCCCCTTCGCTTTCGACCACCTCCCACCTCTACACATACGACCGCGACCCCGGTAATCCTCTTTTCCCATCATCCTTCTCAAACTTGTCGCTCCAGCCGAATCTAGGCAGGAGGGCGAGTAGCAGTTTGAATGGCGGTGCGGGGGGGATGGGTGGCAAGGGAGGAGCGGTGCCGATGAGGGAGGATGTGGTGGGAGAGTTGAGGAAGAAGGGGCTGGGAGGGAGAAAGTATAGTCAGGCGGGGTTGAGCGAGAGTGAGTTGCTTTGTCGATTAGTTGTGGGGGATACTGACAGGGTGCAGGCGCCATTACGTTTGCGAGCGAGAGTGAACTCAGCGCCCATTAGGCTGCATTCCGTGTCCCTCGCATCTCCCACCTCGTGTCGTCGTCCATCTTGCCCGATCATCTCGGCTATCTCTCCGCATCGTACCCCACTGCCCTCATTGAATCAAAAGCAGAAAATTGTGCCATCATCTCTTTCTCAATCGTCATCTCTCAAAAATCAAAATAAACAATTCAACTCTTTGTATCGATAGCTTCTCTTTCATCTTGTCTTGTGCTTGGTGTCGTCTGGTGGAGTGGAAGGTGGTGAAGGCGATCTTGCTTCTCTATCTGTTGATATCTTTTCTTGCAGTTTTATTTACACGCTTCATGTCGTTATTTCTCGTTCTGATGATGCTCGTTGTGCAGAGTACCATGTAAAATGTCACGTTTGTATAGGGATTTGGGACCGAAACATCCTGGCAAGCGTTCAAGCACGCGTTGATGGACGGACGCGTGACGTCATTGTGGGTTTGACTTTGCTTTTTCGACATCTCTTTGCATCTCTTCGTATCAAGCTTCATCTTTTTGACCGCTGCAAGCTATACACTTCTTCAATCACGCTTATACGCCCCCATTGCCTCTACATGGTCCTCGACATCATCGCAGCCACCACCCTCTGCCCCGCCATCATCGCGACAAAACTGTCAATCGAAGGCGGCTCGAGAAGAAACTGGAGAGATGGCAACAAGAGTCTCAATCTCGAAATCTTTGTCAAATTTCAGGGGAGCGGACCATATAAGAGAAAGTTTGAGGGAGCAAGGGTAGTGATGATGAATGGAAAGGTACGTATCCTCTCATTTTCCGGACTATACTGATGCATCTGTAGCTTTATATCGAACACGCGAATTCGCATTTTGACCCGGAAACGATAC